GAGGAAGCCTTGGGCTGCCAGGATGTGATGATCACTGAGAAAAGGTTTTCTGTGTATGACTTGGGGTGTGCAGGGTTGGGTGTAGGACCCCTGTGCTTGCTGCAGAAGAATGTGGGTAGTGAAGCAGGGGCTACAGGAAGGGCTGTAGTTCATAGAATGGTTTGGGTTGGAAAGGACCTTAAGATCATCTAGTTCCAAACCCCTGCCATGGGCAGGGATGTCTCACACTAGACCGTATCACCCCAGGCTCTGTCCAACCTGGCCTTGAACACTGCCAGGGATGGAGCACTCACCACTTCCCTGGGCACCCTGTGCCAGGGCCTCGCCATCCTCACAGGAAAGAACTTCTTCCTTATATCCAACCTGAACTTTCCCGATTTCAGTTTGAACCCATCATCCATTGTCCTATTGCTACAGTCCCTGATGAAGAGTCCCTCTCCAGCATCCTTGTAGCCCCCTTCACATACTGGAAGGACCTGGACAGGCAGTCTACCCCTGTCCTCCTTTTACAATATGGGCATAGCCCAGCACTGACCAGTGCTCTGTGGAGCGTCGTCTTTGCTTTCTTCATTCCTAAAATCCCACGGCCTGACTCGCAGACACCACGTGTCCCTCCAGCAGGAGCCAACAGGAGGCAGACTTCGCAAGTGCAATGTACCACATAGCACCAAGCGCTCAGCAGTGTCCGGCCCTGGCCAGCTCCAAGCTAACACCCGCGGTTTTCTTAGTTTCTCTGAACCTCAGCTGCCGTAGCTAGAACAGTCACACAGTGCTACAGCTGCTGGGCAAGTGCTGCTCAGCTCCAGGCAGGCTGGTGCTCAGTACTGAGGGCATCTTCAGGGAGACAAAGGCAGCCTGCATCTGGCCTTGGGAGTGCTACCACGTTCCTGTGAGGGCCACATCCTGACACAGCATCCGGCCACCTCTGCAGGCTCTTGTCCAAAAGTGGGGCTTTTCTAGGCACCTGAGATTTGTCTTGGAAACGGCACAAACTGCAGCAGTGTATTTCTGCCTTGCTGTGTGCTTAAGGACCTGTCAGTGTCTTTCTGCTGACATTTACCAAAAATATCCATCTGGAGGCATATTCTGATGCATAAATTTCAGTCCAGGGATTTCAATGCAATTTCACAACCTACTTTATAGACCTAGTCCTGTAGGACCAGTTGTCCTGGGGAATCAAACATGAATAGTCCCAGAGGATGTAGACTAGCCGTCCTTTTTACCCAGCCTTAGTATCTCCAGATGTGGCTACAATACAACAGACCCCTTGAACAAAAGGCAAATATTTCTGCTGCCACCCTCGAGTGCACTCCCAGCCTCCAACCATTCTCATTTCACAAATCTTGAGCTTATCACTTTGAAATCCAAGCCCCGACTCAGACACATGGAAATTTCCTTGTGATCGCCATGTCCCTTGGCAAGGAGCTCCTCGCATGAAGAGCTGTTGCCTTCTGTTCATTTTGAACCAGGCTCTTGACAGCTTCATTTGATGGTCCATGGCTCTTGCTCTGTGAGAAACTGTGTACAATCAATCACTATGTGCCACTCTTTCTAGGCCCCTCATCATTTTGCAGAGTTCAGTTCCCATCCTGGAAAGTCTTGGTCCATCTGGAAAACACCTCTTTTCATCTGAGATCTTGCTTGTCTTTCTTGGAGCCTCACCGTACGATCGCTGACTTCCCCCAGTCATTCTTTTTCTATTTTCTAGTTCTATTTTCAGCTCCCAGTTAAAACCAGCTTTTCCCACATCAGTGATCTGGCAGCTCCCAGGGGCACTGTGACAATGTGATCCCCCAGCCATGACTCAGGGTTGGTTGGTGGAGCTGGCTGCCTTCAGGGGTAAAAAAAGACTTCCTCCTGCATCCCAAATCTGTTCTGGTGATGGATTTAAAGACACCATGTGTGGTTTCTATCGAAAGCTGAAACACACCATAAGGCAGAGGTTTTACGGACTCCATAAATAGCTCCTGTTTAGGATATAGGATATGGAGGAGGTTTCAGAAATCAAAATATTTAGAGAATTGCATTATTTGTCTTGGCAGGAAGGAGCAGCTAAGATTGAAATACAAAATCTTCCTTCAAGGAAAACAGTGAATAGGGGGAATAACAGAGGTGTCAAAACCTCCAAGAATTCCTTTTGCGATGAATGGAAGCAGAAAACACAGCCCAGTATATCTCAAAGGAGAGAGAATTCATTGAAAATGTTTAAGCACATTCATATTCCTGATAGAAAATATTGATTTTTCAGAATGAATCTTGACATTTCCATCAAACCCATATTTGAATATTGCAAGAACATCCAGAACATTCAGCTAAAAGCAGCTCCGAGCTGGGCTGTGTTGGTGTGAGCTGCATCAGCGCGGGTGTCCTGAGCCTGTTCTCCTCCTCTCAGTTTTATTCTGGTCTCTGTGTGGAGATGTGTAACAGGAATGCTAAGATTGGTCTGAGCAGGGGATGTGTTCAGATATTGGGTCTGAATGCACTGGTAGGCACAGCAGGAGCAGAGGAATGAAAGTGGGGGACATTGGTGGCACCTCAGTTAGCAGGTCACCAAGTGCATTGTGATCAGCTCAGCTCAGCTCAGCCTGATCTCGAGCTCATCTCTCTCCATGTGGTTTCCCAGCCTGGCAGTCGGTGGGATCTGTCTGAAAGCCTGTTTCTAGCACCCCCAGCCTCAATCTGCCATCTGTTGCCTCAGGCAGGGGTGTCAGTCTTGGTCTGGTACCTTGGCCATCAAGCTGCCGTGTCTCTTGTCTCAGCAGCACATTGGTGGCAGGGACAGCCCATGGGAACAGGGGTGCGCATGGGTGCAGAGTGAGGGGAATTGCTTGCGGTGCATGGCTGAACTGGGCATGGGGTTGGAAGGGAGCAGCTGTGTCTGCCCCATGCATCCTGGGAGCACAAATGCATACATGTTGCAGAAAGAGCTGGAACAGGGAGGCAGAGAAAGTGCAGAGGTGCCGTGGATTTGGGATCATGGCTCAGGGGGTTGGAACTGGGTGAACTTTAAGGTCCATTCCAACACAAACAAGTCTGTGATTCTATGATTATAGAGCAGTCAGGATCCCAGATGAATCCGGAGAGCTTCAGCTGTTCAGACAGGGGTACCATGAGATCTCTCTGCCAGAGACAAGTGAAGCCCCAGCCTTGATTTGGGCTGTCTTGATTCACTCTCTCTGGGAGTTTAACTCCTGTGTATGATC